ATTATGCTAAGCGAAATAAGCCAGTCAGAGAAAGATAAATATCACATGATCTCACTCATATGTGGAATATAATGAACAAAAATAGAGCCAGAGTCATAGAAGCATTGAACAGACCATCCAACCTAAGAGGGAAGGCAGGGGAAGAGGGGGGAAGAGATCAACCAAAGGACTTGTATGCATGCATATAAGCATAACCCATGGACACAGACAGTAGGGGGGTGAGGGCATGTCCTGGGGGTTGGGAGCAGCTGGGGAGAGGTCAATGGGGGAAAAAGAAGACTTATGTAATACTTTAAACAATAAAGAATTTAAATTAAAAATAATATATTTATTTCTATCAACACCCCCTGCTCCCCCAAAAAACATCCTGAGTGGCAAAGAGCAGGAACCCAAGGATGTATAGGTAAGGAGACAGCGAAGATCTTTTCCACCAGGACATTTACATTTCTCCCCTAGACTCCACCCCTGGGGACTACATAGCACTGGTAAAGGTATCTGTTACCACAAGTGTGAAATCCCATCAAAGCACAGCTAACATTTAGGAATGCCCCTCTTGTGTTGAGATCTATCCTCCACGTCCATCCCTGAGCTCATTTTAGAATGAGTAATGCTTTACACAGTGGCAAACGGCCTTTTCTCATTAGGACACAGAAAGCTGAGTGAGATGGAGTCCTTGCCCTTAATGACAGTGGATTCTCACAAAGAGGTGACCAAGTGAACAGCGATGGAAGGACAGAGCATAAGGCGAGGAAGGGCTGAGCCCTCATGCAAAAGGTTGGGGTGGGATTCTAGGTGCAGGTGCAGCCTATAAGGACCTGAGGAGAGGAACGGAGCAGTCGTCTGAGAACTGAAAGACCATTCTGTGAGCAACATGGAGGATGGGGTCCTGATCTCAAAGGGAGGGTTGCTGAGCCTGCTATTCTAAACGTCTGGAATAGAAGGTGGCCCAGCCTCACCGCTGTAGACCAGCGGTCCTGGAAGGCGCCAGGGGCAGCATGCTCACGCAGGACTCTGTCGGACAGAGCAAGGAGGACCTCGCCTTGAGCGTTTTAAGAGAAGTGAGACCGGGGCTATGTTTCGGGACCGGAAGGCAGGTGTGCAGGGAAGCAGGCTGACGTCGGGGACAGTGGAAGGGGCACTCGTCACAGGTGGACTGGATGTGGCGGTGGGAGCGAGGGAGAACTCAAGACTATCTCCCGGACCCAAACAGCGGTAGACTGCTGAAGGAAGGAGGGAGGAATGAAGCACTTCGGCATGCTGCAACACGAGTGAGCCTGGCAAGCACTGTGCTAAGCCAAAATGCTACTCAAAGACCAGACAGTACCTGCCACCACGCACAGCAAATGTGCAGTGGAGACGAGTGTACGCGCACAGGAGGATGAGCTTTGCTAATGGCTAGGAGAGATGGACAAGCGGAGGCGGGAAGAGTGACACCCGAGGCTCTTCTGGGGTCAAGAAAACGTTCCGAAATGGATTGTGGTGATGCATGCAGTACTGAGAATACACTGAAAGCCACTGAAGCGTACACTTTAGAAAACGCTGTAGATATGTAAATTATCTCAACGGACAGGGACCACAAAGCGAACGTCTAAGTTTCCAGCTTCAAGCACTGATGGGAGGAGGCACAAGTTATTGCAATGGGAGGGCAAGGTGAGAAAGGAGGGCCAGGGCCTGGCCACGAGCCTTGTTTCCATGGGTGCGAGGAGCTCTGGTTCATGGACTTGAGCTGCTCTCGCTGGAGCTTCTGGTGAAACAAAGGTTCCCCTGGAATTCCTGTGCCAGTCACGGAGGGTGGCAGAGCAGGACCTCGCCAGGCCCTCATGCCACTCGCCAGGGCATGGCCTGCCCCTGACCTGATGTGGTCATTCCACCAATTTTCTTCCCTTCTTTTCTGGCTTCCTCTTCTAGCTACTTCTATTTTTTTTTTTTTGGGGGGGGAGGGGGGGGGTGTTAATCCTCACTCGAGGATATTTCTTCCATTGCTTTTCAGTCAGAGTGGAAGGGAGGGAGGGGAGAAGAGGGAGGGGGGGAGAGATACATTGATTGGTCACCTCCTGCACAAGCCCCCATAGGGGTGGGGAGTGAACCCTCAACCCTTTGGTGCGTGGGCTGGCGCTCTAACCACTGAACACACCGGTCAGGGCTCATGTGCCACACGCACTCTTTACCGCTCTCTCTCATTCAGTTGGTGAACTTGCAGACTCTGCCCCTGATGAGTCTCTCTAAAGCCATACCCATCGCTGTCATTCCCTGTTCAATCCTCCAGTGGGTTCTGACTTTTTCACTTGCTTACATACTCAACTGTGTATGTACATATGTACCTATACATCCCAGGAACAGTCCTGGGAAAGCAGAAGGTAGTTTATTAACTAGTGGCTAGATGAATGGATATTAAATAAGATGAAAATATTTAAAAACTATAATTAACTGGTGAAAAGAATACTGAATCTATGTGATTTACACATAACAAAATATATAAAGAAAATGTGTCAATATATAAGAAAATGCTAGGAATCAAATTATGGTGCAAGTGTTTAATACCCTACATTACATTAAATTGTGTAAATGTTAACAAGTAGAACATTAGAACAATAAAATCAATTGCAAAAAACTAAAAGACCATCAAAAAGGAAATAATTTTTTAAAAAAAATGTATAATCTGATTTCTATTTTGTATAACAACATTATAAAGGTTAATTTTTGCTTTTTTTATTTCAACTAAGATTTATTAATAAAGCACTCTTAAAAACAAGGAAAGGTTCTAAGAGAATTTGGCTTTTAAAAATATGTATTTAAAATAAAGGCCTAAAAGTTAATATTCCACAGTTGTTGTTTTTTAAGGTAAGAATGTATTTTTACCATGTTTGCTGGAGTTTTGATCCAAAGATGTGTTCACAGAAATGCTGTCCACTGTAGTCCACTTCCTTAGTCTTGACTGTGGCTCTTTAATACTGTTCATATCCATATTTACATTCAAGTTTGAGTTCAAGCCTTAAAAATAACAATTAAAAAATTTATAAAATATAGCATGTTCCTCTTCGTGTACAACTTGCACTTCCTAGAAAAACTACGTAATGTTTCGATCTTGCCTGAATTCCTTAATAGAGATAATTCTGCAAATGTGGCACAGCCAAATAATTACAAAGGCCGGGCAGGTGGAACCGACACTCTGTCCCTGGCCAATGTCATGCAGACACAGTGTGGGGAGAAAGAGCCACAGTGAAGTTACCAGAGAGTGCAATGCAGAACTCCTACGTAGTTATTCTGATACTCAATAATACGTTTTCAAACCATAAAACTGTTACTACTATAAAACTGCATTATCTGTGGGAAACTATTTCTCCACATAATTTTGATTAGTTTTAAACTAGAGGCCTGGTGGACAACATTCATACACTCGGGGGGAGGGGTGGTCCCTCAGCCTGGCCTGTGCCCTTTAGCGGTCCGGAAGCCCACAGGGGATGTCTTAAGTGGCAGTCGGACATCCTTAGCTCTGGCGCGGAGGCGGGAGAGGCTCCTGCCACTGTCACTGCGCTGGCCAGTTGTGATCCTGGCTTCTGGCTGAGCAGTGCTCCCCCTGTGGGAGTGCACTGACTACCAGGAGGCAGCTCCTGCATTGAGCGTTTGCCCCCTGGTGGTCAGTGCATGTCATAGTGACCGGTCTTTCCACCCTTCAGTCGATTTGCATGTTACCCTTTTATTATATAGGATTCCCTGGCCGAATAAGAAAAAAAATTCAAAGAGGCCAAATATTAAAGTTTATAAGACTATCTCTAATAAGATATCTTTCTTTAGCTACTTTCCAAGAGTACCATGCATAAAATATTATATATGATCACTTTCAGTTGCTATCTTTTGCTTGCAAACTGAATAATTTTCAACTTGCTGACCAGTCAAAGAAGATTGTCAGGGCACATTCCCGGGTTGCGGGGTCAATCCCCAGTGTGGGGTGTGCAGGAGGGGTCAATCAGTGATTCTCATCACTGACATTTTTATCTCGCTCCCTTCCTCTCTGAAATCAATAAAAATATATTTAACTATATAAAAGGCTAATATGCAAAGTGTCCCCAAGGGGGAGTTTGACCGGGAGTTCGATCGCTCATGACGTGCGTGGACCACCAGGGGGTGGCACAGAGTGAAGGCAGGCCCTGGCTGGCAGCTGGAAGGCCCCGATTGGCCCTGATTGCTGGCCAGGCCTAGGGACCCCACCTGTGCATGTATTTCATGCACTGGGCCTCTAGTATTTAAATAAAAAACCAAACAAACAGAAGAACTGTCGTGCTCTAACAATTGCACCTCAGGGCCAGACCCGCATACTCTAAGGTGCGATTTACTCCAACTCTGACAGTGCCATCTCAGGATTAGTCTCAGGGAACAAGGATGGAAACGTCTATCTTCAGTGCTGTGGTCAGAAAACGGACCCATTCCTCCAGTGTTTCTTAAATGTGCTCTGGGGACAGTCAACATCAGAATCCTCTGAGACACTTTTTAAAAATGAAGTCAGATCTTTAACACATATCCAGCTGGTCATCCTAAAGTTTTAAAAACAAATAGTTTTAAATACTTTGGTTTCATGACAGTTCACAGGATATTAGATCAGCTAGACTTAAGAACTTTACCACGAATTCTCTAATATCATATCTATTTTTGAAAAGAGAAATTACAGTTGTTATTCTCTGGGCCCATCAATTAGACCCAAGTGTGGCAAATTCTTTCATGGTTCAGAGAGTAAACATCTTAGGCTCTGGGGCCACAAGGTCTGTTTCTATAAGACTGTTTTTATAGCACAAAAGCTACAGAAAATATGTTAATGAAAGAACAGGGCTATGTTCCAATAAATCTTTATTTACAAAATCAGGCAGCTGGCCACATCTGGGCAACAGGCTCCTGTTTTTCACGACTGATTTAGAGAACCATCCTGGTGTTTGCATAGGCTAAGCAGACTTTTTTAATCAGGAAAAAGTATCTCTTGCTGTGAAGCCAGCCTAGACAGGAAATCCACATACAGTGGAACCTTGTTTCTGGAACTTACTTTGTTCTGGAAGGCTGTTAGAAAACCAAATTATTTTTTCCCCAAATAACCCCCGTTTTAACCTTTCTTATGTACTGTACACGTCTATTGTACTGTTTAATCTATAAACACTTTAAAAACAAAAAGGACATGAAATGTAAATGAATATTTAACAAAAAATGTACAGTAAAAAATGAAAATTTAACAAAAGCAACAAAACAAAAATATTCACAACACAATACCCTGAGATGTTAACAGTGGTAACCTGACTCATGTTCGTGCACTCTCTCCTTTGGCAGCAGAGAGGTGTGTGACTGATCATATAGGCAGCAGCATGAAAGGGCTGTCAGGCTGAGGGGCGAACTGTTCGAGATAGGAGATGTTTGAGAAACAAGATTCCACTGGACAGTGACCTCCTCACTGGCCCAATGCCTATGACCAGCATGCAAGCACACCGTGCATCCCTTCCGTTTGCTGAGACCAAACCTCTCAATGTCCGTGGCATTCTTTACTACTCCCATATACACTGTTGTTTCTGGGATCGCCTGGTCACCACGCGCAGTGGTCACTGACAAGGGAACCACAGCTGGGAATGTAGAGACAGTGAACAGTTCCCAGGACTCAAAGTGCTACGTAGGCCCCAGCTGAGAGCCCACGGCAATACCGGGGAGAGCCAATCCTGCGCCAGCTCAGCGAGAGCGAGGAGCCGCAGGAGCAGGCCCCACCCTTGCCCACAGCCCACAAGGTGCAAGGAAACAAACTATCTTCACCACAGCTGGACCAGCAGGGTGAGCAACCAACAAAGCTGTGTTACAAGAAACCATTTTCAGGGAAGAGACAGAAAAGTGAAAATGAACAGGATGGGATCAAACAAGGGTCAAAACAGAATCGAAGGGATAAGGAGAAAAGGGACCTAAGGCAGGGGAACAGGTACAAGCCTGACATTTCCAGAGGGAGTACAAGTCTGGAGACATAGTGAGAAAGGGAAGGGAAAGCTACAGGAAATGTGACAAAGGCACCCCCATTTCCTAGTTATCCCAGTAATCATGTATAAATATCTAGACAATAGTCAAATTTCTAGCTTCTAAAAACTACAATGCTACTATTTCTCAGCTGTTTTGCCAAAGCAGCACTGCTCAGTATCTATCTCTCTGGCCCTTCCCACTTCCCTTCATATTCTACAATTAAATACCTGAGGGTCTTAAGAGAAGTATTATCTTTATTCTAACCCATTCAAATATGAATGTAGTGTTTTTGAAACAGTGTGGTTTTCTTGAAGAGAGAGCATGAAGCATGTTCCCTGAAGCATGAAGACTACACCCACAAAAGGGAACAGCTAACGGACCAGTGTTGTCTTCACGAGGGAACAGCCCTGCCAGGTCGGGGACTTCCACGCACCAGCTAACCGTGTGGCCAAGGAGAAACCCACCTATAGGGAAGCTGCTGAAAGCATTTACTGGAGATGGCCCTTTTTGCAGCTCGGGTGTAGTGTGAGGCAGGACATTTTCAAGGAAAGATTTCATGGCTGGCTGATGGAGTGACTGCTGCTGAGATGGCGGCGTCTGCTGCTTCACCAACAGGTTGGGGTCAAGTTGGCGAGACTGTTGCATCATCTGCTGCTGCACACTAAGAGGTCGACCCTTAAAACGACAAAAACAATTGGGAAAAACTGTGAAGTCTTTCCAGATACCCACATGTTCCCCTTTATTTTTTCATCCATTTCCCTCTCCTCAGAAGGTGCACAGTCACCCTGTACCAGCTGGTATAACGCTGGGCAAACAGAGGACTTAGTGAACAACTGACTGCATGACGTTTTCAGGAAGGCCTGTGCGTCTCGTTCCAATGGAAGTGATGTGAGGGGCGGGTCAGCACAGCGAGGGGAAGACTCGGACCCACCTGCTGGTCTTGCTGCTGCCGGTTCCCAGAAGGCACGCTTCTCTGACTCTGCGTCCTTTGCTGCTGTGCTAAAAATCGCTGCGGGGAAGAGTGCAGATGGTCAGTGCCACACCATCACAGATCAAGCTTCAGTGGCCGTGGCAGGTGGACCTGCAGAGGCACGGCTTCATCTGATCAGCGCCAACAAGTCCTGCCTAATCGAACACAATCTCTTCCTGGACTCTGGCCTCCAGCAGATCTGTTCAATCTAAACTTCTACTTCATCAGAAAAATTCTTCCTCACCACTCTACCCCCAGCGCCACCCCGACCCAGCTGGGCTTGCTCTCACAGCATCATGCCCACTGGGCTCACCATCTCCTTCACGGACACACTGGAAGCTCCACGAGAATCATGGCTGCTGGCATGCCCCCTGCACCACCTCCTGCAGTCTAGCCCACAGGGGACACACTGAGTGCACACCGCAGGACAGGTCGGCACTCCACGCACCTGTAACTGGGAGATCTGAGAAAGCTGGTTGAGTTGGGAGAGCTGGTTCAGCATGGCTACCTGCTGAGGGCCAAAGAGCGGATTCAGGCCACCGTTGTTTGGTGCATACTTCAGCAATGAAACTGGAACCTGAGGATCACAATGGTAAGTTAATAACGGGGTAAAATAATGCAAACTAGCTACAGGTACAATGTATTTTAAATTATCAACATAGCAATTAAATGTATGGACTATTGTTTTGGGGAGCATGTTATGTACCTTCTGTTTTCTCTGCTTTACTAATTTACTATTCACATATACTTTCATGAATTAAGTAAAAGATGAGAGATGAATTTTAAATCAGTAAATGTACTTTGCTATTGTCCCCCTTCAGAAGTTTTATGAAATATAATGATAAATTTTAAATTACCTTTGACTAATTTTCTTCACCCTCCCTACATCCTTTGAATTAGCTGCATTTCAAAGATGTCAATAAAAAGTATTATCACTGCCCAGCCAACATGGCTCTGTGGTTGAGTGTTGACCCATGAACAGGTCAAGGTTTGATTTCCAGTCAGGGCACATGCCCAGGTTGCAGCTCAATCCCCAGTGTGGGGCAAGCAGGAAGCAGCTGACCGATGTTTCTCTCTCATTAATGTTTCTCTCTCAAATCAGTAAAATATACATATTTAAAAAAATGTATGATGATCAACCATTCACCTAATCCTATATAATAAAAGCATAATATGCAAATCGACCGAACAGCTTAACAGTGAAACGAACATCCGGGACTACGCTATGACACCCACTGGTGGCAGGCCAGCCAAGGCAGGTGTGATGCAACTGGTTGGGGGCCCGGCCATTGCCCCATGATCGCCCAGTAGAGGGAGGCCCAGTAGATTGATCGGCAGAGCGATCAATCGGGGGGCTCCAGGATTGCCCCAAAGAGGGAGGCCTAGGCTGCGGTGGGTGGGTGGGGCCCAGGCATGAGGGAAGCCCAGGTCCTGGAGGGAAGTCGTGTCGGCAGCCAGGGGAAGGAAGGCCTACTCTTGCAAGAATTTCGTGCACCGGGGCTCTAGCTCAATTATAAAATTACTCAAGGTTCTTTTCCAGAAAGTAGAAGGGAATACCATAGAAATTTATTAACCTGAGGGGAGAGTAATGGAGGAGGCACTTGAGCACGGAGATTAGGCTGAGATGAACTGAGAGGTTGTGCTGGAGGCTGCTGCAGGCCCCGGGGTTGTGCTGCTGTGTTTCCAACACCAAACATATTGGGATTGCCATTCTACAAAAACAAACAGCCAGTGCTCTTCAGGACCAACAGCTCATTATCACATCGTACTTCTGATTTAAGTACAGTAACTACACATAAGAGAGAGCTTATTGCTTCTACAAATCATTCAACAGAGAACCTAATACACACACGGACTTACCTGTCTAACAGAATTCAAGTTTTGCATACCCAGCCCTGCTATGGAGCCGAGGGCCTGGTTAGGTAGTGCACTATTTGAAGGGGGAAGCTTCATGCTCTGACTGGACATAAACTGCAAGTTTTGGGATTCATCTGCTACAATGCCATCCTGATTGGACAGACAGAAAGATGCGCAACACCAGCCAAGCAAACAAGTGGAAGGGAGAAATCATTGCAGGAACAGAAGTCACATGACATTCCAGCATCAACAGGAAACAGGCAGAAAACAGAAGAGATCAGATTAGTGTTAATTCTAGAGCACATAAAAAGAACCAACACATTTTATGGGGTTAAGAAGAAAATACAAATGCAATCCCTGTGATAAATTGAGACATAGAAAAGACAATGAACTACAAATCCAGTAAGAGGATTTGGCACTGGATCTTAACACTTTATATTACATGAAATGTTGTAAACAGTGAATGAGAAAATCATGCTACTCAGTGTCTTGGTTTATTAGCCCCAGGGGTAAAACAAGAAACAGCTCACCTTATCAAAATAAGGGCTGCGCTCCATGGAAGACTCTTTGGGCATCTGAGGCCGAGAACCAGGGCCTTTCCCGACCGTTCGATTGTAATCACCAATATTTAGGCTATGTTTATCTATCTCCATTCGTTTGTCTTGTAACATTCCTAACAAATGCAGGAAATAACGTTATCCAGTAGGAAGACAATTAACCTATTTGGTTTCAGATAAATTTGCAGTGGAAAGCAAAATCCTCCCTTCCCAAACTGACCCGTCTTCTGCCTGGACAAGGACGCGGGAAACAAATGCACTTGCCTTTAGTAAACCCTGTGTTCCTCACAAGCCAAGCTGTGCTTGGCAAACACTTATTTTACTGAACCAGTGAACTTGAAAACAGAAGGCTAAGACATCTTTGGTCATCGTTGGTCTGGTTAATTTTGTAATAAACAGTTCCCAGTAACAGTAAGAACACAGTAGCCGAGACCGGTTTGGCTCAGTGGATAGAGTGTCGGCCTGCGGACAGAAAGGTCCCAGGTTCGATTCCGGTCAGGGGCATGTACCTTGGTTGTGGGCACATCCCCAGTGGGAGATGTGCGGGAGGCAGCTGATCGATGTTTCTCTCTCATCGATGTTTCTAACTCTCTATCTCTCTCCATTCCTCTCTGTAAAAAATCAATAAAATATATTTTAAAAAAGAAAGAAGAAAAAAAGAAAACAGTAGCACGACAAACTGCCAGGTACTCTTCTATGTGCTCTGTGCCTTCCAGTCTAGTGCCCACAGCTCCTCTCACTCCTGCCAGCAGATGGGGAGGCAGGAGGCCAAACAGGTCTTGCTCTACCCATTCATTCATCTCCTCATTTTGATTTCTTTGCAACAAATAGGATCTCCTCTCATGGAAACTCCCATCCTGCAAAACCACGTTTGCTTGAAACAGCCAGCCCCCAGCTACCATCACACTTCAACAAATCTTTAAACGTGGACACTGCTGTCTGCCTCCACGTCCCCGCCAAAAGCCCACCCTGGTTTCGCCCCTCTCTCCACAGTTGGGCCCACTTCCTTTGCTTCTTCAATGAGGGGATATGCCAAGGCTGACCCAGTCAAAGCAGAAAAACTGAGTGTACTCTCTCTACAAATGCGCTTCCTTTACTGTTTTGCTCCCAAGGTGTCGACAGTCACTCCCATTCATGTGCTCCTCAAATACAAACATCCACTTTGACTTCACGCCTGCATGTAGTCCCACATCTTTAACTGCCTGCTCTTAAGCATAACCTCTCACAGGTGACACCAAGCACATTTCCCCAGACCTTCCTTCACTGGACCAGTCATACAGATTTGAAAATCTTTCTCCATCTCCCTGGCTCTCATTCTCCGTATTTTCTGTCCTCCAATCTCACCCATCGATTTCTTTGCAGCTACTGTCCTTTGAGGCATGTTACTGCCACCACCACCAAACTTCCTACCTTCATTCCAGGCAAGTGGAAAAGAAAAGCTTTTAACAAAACAAAAATATTCCTAGAGTAGACACATTTTAGAAATGCGTTTGGTTTCCACATTATTTCCTTTGCCAGAGACACTGAAGCTCTCAGCAGAGGTGCAGGGAGATACTGTCGGAGGAAAGGCTGCTTCCTGTTCCCAGGGCTCCCCTTCCCCCCCTCCGCCCCCTTGCAGCACAGCCAGTGGGCTGGCCCGGCTCTGGCTCTGGCTCTGGCCATGCCTGCTCACCACTGGCTAGCAGCTCCTGCCAGCAGCCCCAAGCAGTTTTATAGCAGAGCGCCTCCAGGGAGACAATTCCTCTAGAAGGTGGGCTTCCGATAGTCCCACAGGGGTGACACCTCAGTGACTTCTCTGCCATGCACTGAGCTAAGGTCATGTCCCAAGAGTCCTTTATATATAAATATAAATATAAATATAAATATAAATATATATATATATTTATTTTTGATTGATTTCAGAGAGGAAGGGAGAGAGAGAGAAAAACATCAATGATGAGAGAGAATCATTGATCGGCGGCTTCCTGGACGCCCCCTACTGGGGATCGAGCCTGCAACCCGGGCATGTGAGCTTGACTGAACTCAAACCTGGAACCTTTCAGTCCGCAGGCCGACACTCTATCCACCGAGCCAAACCAGCTAGGGCATGTCGAAGAGTTCTGATCCCAGCCCTGGGGTGAGGCGGGTGGGGCAGGCTATCTTAGGCCCGAGGTTAGGATTTCTCCTTATTATCTGCTCTTTCTATATTCTGTAAAATACTCACATTCTTTTTCTTTACCTCTTATTGGCCAAACCACCATTATTACAGTACTAATTTATATTTATGTTAAACTTTCCCTGTTCAAGTACTATGCAATTTCCCTCTCCTGCCTAGACTCAGACTTAATGCAACCATTGCTGAACTGCCCAGGCAAAAACACTGGGGATCACCTTTTACCAAACCCATACCCTCACCCTCCACAGCAAACTGGTTCAACTTTTGTTGATTCTAAATCCCACATCTCCACTGAATTAGATTTTTCACACCTACTGTCTTGGTTTGGAGCTTAGAAACTCTCCACTCTTTATTGCAACAAATATCTAATGGTTTTGCTGTGTTTAGTATCTTTCTGTCTGTCCTCTGCTGCCAATGTTTTCTGGCCTGAGATATCTTCAATCTACAGCCAAGATTATTTTTCTAAAACATGAATCCAAATCATGTCATTCTCCTGCTTGAAATTTTTTAATTCCATACTTCAGACTGATGTTATCACTCCCTTAGTTTCACAGTGATTTGCACCTGAAAGGCACATCTACACACCTTGCCCAGGTGGCTCAGTTGGATGGAGCATCATCCTGTACACCAAAAAGGTTGCGTGTTTGATCCCATCAGTGGGGTAGATACCGGAAGCAACTGATTGATGTTTCTCTCTCATAGAAATTTCTCTCTCTCCCCACCTCTCTCTCTCTCTCTCTCTCTCTCTCTCTCTCTCTCTCTCTCTCTCTCATCAATGGATATATCCTCGGATGAGGATTAAAAAACATAAATTATGTACACACACAGTACACACACACACACACACACACACACGCACATTGACTCTGCCCCCGGAGCCCAGCTTCCACTCGT